AGAACTGGAGCAGAGCAGCAATCCATGGACAAAAAAATGTGGTGGTAACTCCATTTTCCATCCACCAGGATTCCTGGCTACTTCTCCTTAGCTATGGTACAGAAAGGTAAAATTGATATAGTTCTCTCCATACTCCAGTCCTGTGGATAGATAGATATTCAGTATTGAGAGCAAAGGATGCATAAAGCTCATAGCAATAGTTCCAGTTGCAACCTTACTATAAAAAAGAAGTAATGGTGCTTTTCTAGAGAAGGACTATATAACCCTGGTTTGAACTGCACACTGCAGTTTGTTGAAGGGTTTAACCTCAAAGGAGGTAGTCTTAGAAAGGGAATGGACAGGTAGAAAGTAAAATATCTGATTAGACCTCATTTGAACTTCAAACCGAAGATCAGTTACTACAGGTAGAATACCTGATATACAGTAATCTAACAGGTCATCTCAGGTCATGAGACCCACTTTTCAGTGGTGGGATTCAACTTTTATTTTCCACCAGTTCTGTGGGCATGACTTGGTGCACGTGCTTGGCGCATGCATGTATGCTTCATGCACGCAGAGGGTTTGATACTCACCTTCTGCAATCCTACACTCTCCCTGTGTCTTCAACAGCTGTCTGTGCAAAGCAGCTGAGCTTCAAAACCAAGAAACCAAGATCAGTATAGAGGCAGGGAGGGTGGAAGGGCCCAGCAGTTGATCGTCGTAGAAAACCGGCTCGCTCACAGATGATCCTCAGAGCTACCAGTTTGACCGAACTGGTCCAAACTGGTAGAATACCACCACTGAGCCTTTCAGTGGGGAATAGGACAAATAGAGGCTGACAAAAAGACATTCCCTACTATGACATTCCTCCTTTGGAACTTGCTCTCCCAAAGTGAGGATGGTTCCTTTGCTGGTAAAAAGTTTGGACAACTGTTAATATGTATAACCATCAGGGACTGAGGAACAGGGTTGGGTTGCAATGTATTTTTTCTAGGTAATCAACAGTAAAATGCTAACATGATGAATATTGATCCATTGTGGAAAGTTTTCACAATTGCCTTCAGAATTATACTTTTATAATTTATTCTGTTTCTAATATATTTATAGTAAACCATCTAGACTGTTAAGACTAAATAAGTCCTTGATAATCAGTTAATCAATCTCACATACACTCAGAGAAGAAGTAATGATGCCATATTTCCCCAAAGAAGACCTCAGGTCTCTCGTTGTAAATAATTTTCCAGCCTGTTTAAACTTCAGTATCCCCCAAGAGCACCAGACATTTTTCATGGCTCAGTTAATAGCAGCATAACATTTAATGTCTTGATTGACCATCCCTCTCCTACCTGTGTAGTCTTGTGGCTAGATAATGATCCTTTAATTTTGGATGTTAGCTTTCCTTAAACCTCTAAAATGAAGGCAGCATCATTTGATTGCAAGACCATAGAAGGAGGAGATGGAAAGCTTTTACTATTAATAGCTATTAGCTATTAAACAAAGCTATCAATGAAATCCTCTTGGTGTTGCTATCTTCCACCTTTTTGGATGCCACTAGTTTGCAGTAGGTCATGTACTGGTCATAGCCCTGTTGTGATTGGCATGTAATTCTGACAGATGCCTATACCATGGGTTTAAGTAGTTGTAAACACTCCATGAATCCATTGGACAACTTCTCTGCACACTGGAAGTGAGTCCCAAATCACATTCTTTTTTTTCCTCCTCTTTTCCTCCACAGACAACACCTCCATTTTATAAAATAGAAGATGTTACTGTGCCAGTAGCCGTGTGGAGTGGAGAAAAAGATACTATTGTAACCAAAAAGAATACTGAATCATTGCTTGCTCACATCACTCATTTAGTTTTCTATAAGGATATTCCTGACTGGACCCATTCTGATCCAGTCGTGGGTCTGGATGCTCCACGACGCTTGTATCCCGATGTGCTTGAATTGATGCAGAAGTACAAGGATTAATATCAGGGTTGGAGTTTCTGGGGAAAACAACATCTCAATCACTTACCTGTATCTTGAAAGAATCTAGATTTTTAAACTGAGGTGATTAAAAACCCTATTAGACATATCCTTTGCGTATTTTCCAACATTAAAGTAAATCTTTCAAGTTTTCTATTATTTCTCTAGTTCACTCCTTTGCTTCCTTGCATATTTTACAGAAATCCATTACTGTAAGTTTTTTGAGCAGGTTGTCAACCATCAAGAGAGATCAGACTAGGAAACCAATAGGATGTAGGTCAGTATGTCCAAATCTCTGTGTACTTCAGCCTCCCTCCTTTTATCTTTGGATAAGATAAGTCTGTCTGTGATGTTTACTCACACTGCTTTCTTATCCCCATCTCAGGTCCCCTTTTATCTGACCATTGCTTTGTTGTTGTTTTGTTCTTTCTGTCCTCCAAGGCCATTCTCTTTCCTCTCTGAATCCATTAAAAAAAATAATTGTGTTTAGGTTTAGGGTTAGAACAACACACAAGACCAAAGAAGGGATAGAAGAAAAGAGAAAAGAAGGAAAATTAAATATGACTTTTAAAATCTGGACAATTGGGAAAACAAACAATTGACAAATTAAAAGACTATAAAATACTAAAGAATTTTAAAAATTATAAACTTAGGGGTCTTGGAAACAACTATGAGAATGATTAAGTTTCACTAATAACTGGATTGGTGGGAGTGTTTATTGAGTCATTGGAATTACAGAGGTATATTGAGTAATTGTTTACTGAATTGAATTAAAATTGATTACTAGGACTAATAAAGGACTATTAAGAAATAATTTTGATGCTTAAAAATATGCATGAAACTATAAAAAACAATAAGGAGACAAGGGGAGTGCCTAAAAATAAAGATGAGTGTAGAAGGCCTTAAACAATTGGGGGGGAAAGAGGAACAAGATATCTGGAAAATAGATAAGAAGTTAGAAGAAGCAGTGGAAGAGAAAAATCAAAGTGAGATGCAAGAAAAAAAGGTAATGGAGAGAAAGGACTGATAAGTTGGAATCAAGTAGATAACATTTAAAAAGCTTATAACAGAATAGAGGAAAAGAGGAAAATCTCTCCAAGAAAGGAAAAGTTCAGAGAAAAACAAAAATCTCTTTAAAAAAATGATGGGTATTCAAAAGATGCAGCAAAATGAGATAAAGGGCAACTCAAAAGGAATATTTAGTGGGCATAAAAAAACTATAAGTTTCCAAGAGAGATAAAGAAAAAGGTGACTAAAAAGTTAACAAATGATGGAACTCGAAAGAGACCAAGAGATGATGGATAGTGATAAAATAAACTAGTAAAATGGAGTTGTAGAAAATATAAAATAGGGGAATCAATAGCATAGTATATACAAATAGAAAAATAGAATTTACTTTATTTAAATATAAGTTAAGGGTAGAAAGTGGAAGTTTAGGATTAGGGAATTTAATTGTATTACTAATATTAACAGTGTGTCAAAATATATTGTGAATGTCAAACTTTTAAGGATCAGAAATTGTAAGGAATTGAAGATATAATCCTGGGATCGATTAAATACTGTTAATATGTGGATTGATTAGTAATGTTGGATATTTAGGATATTGAAAGCATGGTGGAAAAATGAGTAATTTTAAAATATCAAATATAAGATAAAGGATAATAAATAATGGTGAAAAGAAATGTTATGTATGCTTAAATGAACCAATGGGAAAAATAAGAAAGAATAGAAATTGAAATAAGAGGGGAACAATAATACACATATTTTAATACAACAAGATATATGTAATAACAAGAGGGAGGTCTAGAAATTGAATGGCGGTAGTTTTAGATATGTTTAAATAACATAAAACAATGAAAATGAAATGTAATTGTTAGGGATAACATTGTTTTACCCTAACTGTTTTGGGTAAAGATAATAAAATGATGAATCATGGTTTGTCAGATAAAGTGTATGTGACTTTAAGCTAAAGGAATGTAATTAAGGGTGCAGCTGTAAAAGTACTATATAAGCAGCAAGGCACTCTCTGGCTCTTACTGGCTGGCTTATTGAAGACTGCATTCTTGCTGAAACGGGGAGTGAAGAAGTGTGTTGATATTTCTCAACGGAGAGAAGATTGGACTGATTTATTGTAAGTGTACTGACATTGGCTATTCAACACGGACTTTGCAAATAGAGTATCCCTGACAAGACTTGACTGAAATTCATATATGACTACTGGACTGTTTACATGACTATGCTATAATTCTTAAATGGAATAAATTATAATTTTGATAGCACAAGGTATCTGTATTTTTACTGCGTGTTAACGAGAAGGCTTATCTCACACATTTACCTGTCTTCCTATCTGACTTCGCTGCACGTTCTGTTTAGTTTGTTTTCCTTAACACCCGTTGGGGAATCCAGGCTTAACAGTAATAACTATGGGTTACAATATTATTTTAATCTGTACCGAATGTATTTGACACCCCTGATCTAGTGGTCGCTCCCAAGTTGGGTGGGGGCTTGGCAGTGGAGTGTTTGCCAGCCATGATTGTCTATGGATTGTCTGTTTTTTTAATTATTATTATTATTTATGTTTGTTTAAGATGTATATATTTATTTATTTTATTTTGTGCGGCTGGGTTCTTTAGATCAGCCAGTGGGAGCTTCGCCCTGCACTTAGCTCACCTCATCAGCTCTTGGGAAGTTGGCCTCCCTTCAAAGCGGTAGCCCAGCTCGCTCCCCAACTCTCCCTGGCTGCCCAGCTATTTATTCCCATTAATTAGTTTTATTGCTTACTTTTCGCAGGAGGGACTCCTTGGATCACCTCAGTTTCTCTCCTTGTTAGTCTCTGGTAGGGAATTGTCTTGCCATTTGTACTGTTCTCTCCTTCAGGCTTGCAACGGCCTGGCTATGCGTCTGCCTTGGTCCCGCCTTGGCCATCTTCCAAATTATACTCAAAGTCTACTCTGACTACTAATTAAGGAGATTTGGATATTAATAGCCAGTTCATCTGAGCTAATATAAGCAAGCAGGGAGATCCCATTGCATTAGCATTTGTTCTTAAGTGCCAATTTTAAAAAGTGGATAAGAATTGGTTTAGCAAATGATGTGGCCTGATGTTTCCAAGCACCTTCAAATAAATAACTTACCATGGTCATAAATTCTTGAGGATTCAAATGTCTTCCTCTTTTGCATTGTTCTGATACATCTGTTTGCTAGAGTAAAGATGTTAAGGACTGAAACATCAACATCACGGCTCTGTGTTAAATAATTTGAAAAGCTGAATTATTACTGCCTTAAATTCTTCATTTCTCCATTTTTCAATATCTGTAGGACTTTTAAAAAAAATTTAATATCAAAATTAGATATCCAAAATTTTGGCAATAATATCAGACTGACCAAATGTATCATATGGTAAAATGTTTATTTTGTGCAACATATTAAAACTACCATTACAATGTATAGGTTAGATGGAATTTAGGTAAACATATGGACAATATTACATCTTAGAAGGTTGTGGTATAATTTTGAGACTCTAAATAACTCAAAATGTATATATGAAATAATAGAAAACACAAAAGCCCACAAAAAACTGACATAACAAGGAGAAAAAATCATTTGCACAAGAATGCCTGCAATATTAGGAAAAAGACATACAAGAAGCTTATAGAGAAACATATTTACCCTTCTGATTCTGTTTTGTTTTTGCTGAATTAGTAACCGATTAAAGAAATAGGATTAATCAGTAATAAAAAATGAGAGTTCAGCAAACCAGTTTAAGTGACCCATCGCTATTGGAGAAAATACTCATTCATGAGAAAATAGTAAGGAGAAAATAACCTGTGTAACATTATAAAATGAAATATCAGGGAGAATTTCATTTGGTTGGTTTTTTTTAAATTGAAAATATAAATTTGGAAATGATTTCATAAATGGAAAACTTGTAATTGTCTGAGTAAGGATGATAAGGTGAGGAGGAGGAGGAGGAAGAAGAAGAAGAAGAAGGAGAAGGAGAAGGAGAAGAGGAAGAGGAGGAGGAGGAGGAGGAGGAGGAGAGAACATTAAAACCATTATAAATACATTTGTATTCTTCAAGAGCTCTTGGTTTCAGATAGCAAAAGTCTGGATAACAAATGATATAAAATTCTGTCTGCACATTCGTACATTCTGGTACCCCGTGTTCTTTGTTTTTGTGTTAAAGTATAAGCGGTTAAAATGCTATTGTTTATTGTTTATTTAATTGAATAGTCATAAGATTTTATCAGTAACATAACATAAATATATAACAAGACAAAATACAGATAAGTTAGATATATAAGAATACAGTAATAAAAACATATGTGGAAAACCGGGGAGTCCGAAATCGGATAATAAATCACCCCTGCAGGATACACCAATTTGTTCAATATATTGTGTTCTTAGGACTGCTGCCTTGATTATAAACTTAGCAGTCCTACGAACAATGTGTACATTAGAGGCCCGGAGGTAATATAACAATCTGTGGTTTGATTCCCAGTGGGTTGTTCTTTCCAGTAGAAATGATAAATATTTAAGCCTACTGGGGGCATATATTTGGCAGTTGAACAAGATGTGGGAAATATCTTCAATGGCTGATGAACCACATAAGCAGGTTCTCTCGTGGTATGGTACATGGTGGAAGCACCCATGTCTGGACATGGAATCCAGTAACTCAAAACTGGCTCTGGTATAGGCTCTTCTCTGTAATTGTGGCATACCCATTGAAAGGTATTTTTCAGGTTGGAAGATGTTTTTATTCTTAGCCAACCATCTTAAGGATCTGGTTTTTTTGCAAATAATTCCATGTCAGTCTGGGCACTAATATCCAAGGCTCTCTGTTTAAAAATTTCCCTTGCCTGGGAAGCCCTTGACAATAAATATTGGGTAGAAAACCCATGTCTTAAGATGGCTCTGTGGACTTGACTGACCCAGGAGTTAAATCGAAGCGGAAGTGTTCTTATCAGTCCCCAATAAGTGTCTTAAAAAGCGGGTCTGTGTTT